CAAATATACCAGCTCATCTTCCCAAATTAACTATGGGTATAAATGACATAACTGTTTCTTTTGTATGCAATGATGCAGAGAGGTGTAGGGAGGAGCCTGCATTGTCCAATCATCTCTGATCACATTTACATTGATGTCTGCACTCTGTATTTAATGCACAGGGGGATAGAATACAATCCAGAGATCTGTGGCTGAGTCACCTGCACCATGTCGTGGTCTGCCCTACTCATCACCTCTCTATTATTCTGTTCCTGCACAAGTAAGAGGGGAAATGGGTTTATTAATGTCTAAGCTGGAGACCAGCTTATAGGAGAAAGAGGAAGATTAATGTACATATTACAAGTGATCCCTGCTGGACTGTTTATTATGAATTTATTTCTGTATTTCAGATTGTGCTGCTCAGGTGAGTGTGACCCAGCCAGCCGCTCAATCAGTCTCTCCTGGGGACACGGCGACATTGTCCTGTACACTTATTGGGTTCAGTATAGGTGATCGCTGGGTGCGCTGGTTTCAGCAGAAAACAGGGGAGAGACCCCGGTATTTGTTGGAGTATTACAGCGACACTAACAAAAACCAAGAGCCGGGGTCCCTGATCGGTTCTCTGGATCCAAAGACACCTCCAAGAACACAGGATATTTAACCATTAAGTCAGTGTTGTTAGAAGATGACGCAGATTATTATTGTGGTATGTGGCATCCTACTATTAGCGGTCTGTTCCACACTGATACACTGCTAGGAGGAACTAACACATAATTCTTTGCAGTGCAGGAGAAGCTGAATATTCTAAGAGCAGAAGACATTTGTATACTACAGTTGTATGAGTGGGAGTTTTTTTTTCTGAAAATATTATTAATATGATCTGGTATTTTTATTTGTAATAAATCATTAAAAGTATCTTAGAAAATAAGGAAAGAACAGTTATAGTCTGGTATCAGTATAATCCTGTGATTTTTGTGGTAGTGAAGTGCAATGAAGATAAAAAGTCCTTCAATCATCTAATGCAGTTGTCTCCAAACTGTGGGGGAGGGGGGCCATGTGGCCCTTTGCTTGCTTTTATCCATCCCTTGTGGCACTATTATGCAGGCTATAGATGCATGAAAAATCGGCCGATATTCACGCCGTTAGTGGGGGCAATACCGTTGGCCGTTTTTTTTCGTGGATCTTCTCTCGTTTACTTTTATTGGTCATGCTGGAAAATTGGAACATTGGTGGCAGCATCGGTGCCAGCAACGACCAATTTTACGTTTATCGGCCAAAAATTTGGCCGATAAACGACCCGTCTATGGCCAGCCTCTACAAGACAAGGCACTATTCCTCCTACTGACACCAACAATGAGGCATAATTCCTGTCACTGACACCAACAATGAGGCACTATTCCACCTACTGACACCAACAATGAGGCATAATTCCTGTCACTGACACCAACAATGAGGCACTATTCCACCTACTGACACCAACAATGAGGCATAATTCCTGTCACTGATACCAACAATGGGGCACTATTCCTCCCACTGACATCAACAATGAGGCATAATTCCTGTCCCTGACACCAACAATGAGGCATAATTCCTGTCAATGATACCAACAATGAGGCATAATTCCTGTCACTGACACCAACAATGAGGCATAATTCCTGTCACTGACACCAACAATGAGGCATAATTCCTGTCACTGATACCAACAATGAGGCATAATTCCTGTCAATGATACCAACAATGAGGCATAATTCCTGTCACTGATACCATCATCAATGAGGCATAATTCCTGTCACTGATACCAACAATGGGCACTATTCCTCCCACTGACACCAACAATGAGGCATAATTCCTGTCACTGACACCAACAATGAGGCATTAATTCCTGTCACTGACACCAGCAATGAGGCATAATTCCTGTCACTGATACCAACAATGGGGAACTATTCCTCCCACTGACACCAACAATGAGGCATAATTCCTGTCACTGAGACACCAACAATGAGGCATAATTCCTGTCACTGACACCAGCAATGAGGCATAATTCCTGTCACTGATACCAACAATGGGGCACTATTCCTCCCATGGACACCAACAATGAGGCATAATTCCTCTCACTGATACCAACAACGAGGCATAATTCCTTTCACTGACACCAACAATGAGGCATAATTCCTCTCACTGATACCAACAATGAGGCATAATTCCTGTCACCGACACCAACAATGAGGCATTATTTCCTCCCACCGACACCAACAATGAGGCATAATTCCTCTCACCGACACCAACAATGAGGCATAATTCCTCTCACCGACACCAACAATGAGGCATAATTCCTCTCACCGATACCAACAATGAGGCATAATTCCTGTCACCCGACACCAACAATGAGAGGCATAATTCCTGTCACTGATACCAACACAATGAGGCATAATTCCTGTCACTGACACCAACAATGAAGCACTATTTCCTCCTACTGACACCAACAATGAGCATAACTTTCCTGTCTCTGATACCAACAATGAGGCATAATTCCTTCACTGACACCAACAATGAGGCATAATTCCTCTCACTGATATTCCAACAATGAGGCATAATTCCTGTCACTGACACCAACAATGAGGCATAATTCATGTCACTGATACCAACAATGGGCACGATTCCTCCCACTGACACCAACAATGAGGCATAATTTCTCTCATTGATACCAACAATAAGGCATAATTCCTCTCACTGACACCAACAATGAGGCATAATTCCTCTCACTGACAAACACCAACAATGAGGCATAATTCCTCTCACCGATACCAACAATGAGAACATAATTCCTCTCACCGACACCAACAATGAGGCATAATTCCTCTCACGACACCAACAATGAGGCATAATTCCTGTCACCGACACCAACAATGAGGCATAATTCCTCTCACCGAACACCAACAATGAGGCATAATTCCTGTCACTGACACCAACAATGAGGCATAATTCCTGTCACTGATACCAACAATGAGGCATAATTCCTGTCACTGACACCAACAATGAGGCACTTTCCTCCTACAGCTCCGGACACCAACAATGAGGCATAATTCCTGTCACTGATACCAACAATGGGCACTAATTCCTCCCACTGACACCAACAATGAGGCATAATTCCTGTCACTGACACCAACAATGAGGTATAAATTCCTGTCACATGACACCAACAATGAGGCATAATTCCTGTCACTGATACCAACAATGGGGCACTATTCCCTCCCACTGACACCAACAATGAGGCATAATTCCTCTCACTGATACCAACAATGAGGCATAATTCCTCTCACTGATACCCAACAATGGGGCACTATTCCTCCCACTGACACCAACAATGAGGCATAATTCCTGTCACTGACACCAACAATGAGGTATAATTCCTGTCACTGACACCAGCAATGAGGCATAATTCCTGTCACTGATACCAACAATGGGGCACTATTCCTCCCACTGACACCAACAATGAGGCATAATTCCTCTTCACTGAATACCAACAATGAGGCATAATTCCCTCTCACTGACACCCAACAATGAGGCATAATTCCTCTCACTGATACCAACAACGAGGCATAATTTCCTTTTCACTGACACCAACAATGAGGCATAATTCCTCTCACTGATACCAACAATGAGGCATAATTCCTGTCACCGACACCAACAATGAGGCATAATTCATGTCACTGATACCAACAATGGGGCACGATTCCTCCCACTGACACCAACAATGAGGCATAATCTCTCCTCATATGAGGACCCACATACCCAACAACCCTTCTACACCCTCACCCCCCCCAACATAATGTTCCTCTCAACACCGATACCAACCCAATGGGGGCATAATTCCTGTCCCCTGATACCAACAATGAGGCATAATTCCTCCCACTGACACCAACAATGAGGCATAATTCCTGTCACTTGATGCCAACAATGAGGCATAATTCCTCTCACTGACACCAACAATGAGGCATAATTCCTGTCACTGACACCAACAATGAGGCATAATTCCTGTCACTACTATCCGGTCCCCAACAATGAGGCACTATTCCTCCTATTGACACCAACAATGAGGCATAATTCATGTCACTGATACCAACAATGAGGCACTATTCCTTCTACCCCCTCAACAATGAGGCATAATTCCTGTCACTGACATCAACCATGATAGGCAACTATTCCTCCTACTGACACCAACAATGAGGCATAATTCATGTCACTTGATACCAACAATGGGGCACCTATTCCCCCACTGACATCAACAATGAGTAATAATTCCTGTCACTGACACCAACAATGAGGCATAATTCCTGTCAAAGATACCAACAATGAGGCATAATTCCTGTCACTGACACCAACAATGAGGGCATAATTCCTGTCACTGATACCAACAATGAAGGCATAATTCCTGTCACTGACCCCAACAATGAAGCACTAAATTCTCCTACTGACACCAACAATGAGGCATAATTCCTGTCTCTGATACCAACAATGAGGCATAAATTCCTTTCACTGACACCAACAATGAGGCATAATTCCTCTCACTGATACCAACAATGAGGCATAATTCCTGTCCAACACCCGACACCAACAATGAGGCATAATTCATTCTGTCACTGATACCCAACAATGGGGCACGATTCCTCCCACTGACACCAACAAATGAGGCATAATTTTCTCTCATTGACTACCAACAATAAGGCATAATATCCTCTCACTGACACCAACAATGAGGCATAATTCCTCTCACTGACACCAACAATGAGGCATAATTCCTCTCACCGATACCAAACAATGAGACATAATTCCTCTCAACCGACACCAACAATGAGGCATAATTCCTCTCCCTGACACCAACAATGAGGCATAATTCCTGTCACCGTCAACCATGACACCAACAAATGAGGCATAATTCCTCTCACCGACACCAACAATGAGGCATAATTCCTGTCACCCGACACCAACCTTCCAATCAAAGAGGCATAATTCCTCTCACCGACACCCAACAATGAGGCATAATTCCTGTCACCAGACCGACAACCAACAATGAGGCATAATTCCTCTCACCGACACCAACAATGAGGCATAATTCCTCTCACCGACACCCAACAAATGAGGCATAAGTCCTCTCACCGACACCAACAATGAGGCATAATTCCTCTCACACCGATACCAACAATGGGGCATAATTCCTGTCACTGAATACCAACAATGAGGCAAAATTCCTTACCCACTGACACCAACAATGAGGCATAATTCCTGTCACTGATGCCAACAAATGAGGCATAATTCCTCTCACTGACACCAACAATGAGGCATAATTCCTGTCACTAGACACCAACAATGAGGCTCATCTACTCGCTTCCTGTCACTGATACCAACAATGAGGCACTATTCCTCCTACTGACACCAACAATGAGGCATAATTCATGTCACTGATACCAACAATGAGGCACTATTCCTTCTACTGACATCAACAATTGAGGCATAATTCCTGTCCACTGACACCAACAATGAGGCACTATTTTCCCTCCTACTGACACCAACAATGAGGCATAATTCATGTCACTGATACCAACAATGGGGCACTATTCCTCCCACTGACATCAACAATGAGGCATAATTCCTGTCACTGACACCAACCAATGATGCATCCAAATTCCTGTCAAAAGATACCAACAATGAGGCATAATACCTGTCACTGACAACAACAATGAGGCAT